GCATACATACATATACATACATATACATATATGCCTCTCTTTTTTTTTTTTTTTTTTTTTTTTTTTGCTTTGTTGTATCTCACGCGCGAGATCGTGTTTTCTTCACGTTCGATTCGCGGCAAAGACGTTGTAATTATTCTCGGATTCTAATACGAAAATACGATTTGAAACAAACCTTTCGAATGAGAAACCTCTTACGAGTCGATTTGTTCCGATGCGAGATCACAATTGAGTTTCCTCGAGGAATTTGACACGAAAAAAAAAAAAAAAAAAAAACAACCCGATACACAGGTGCAAAGAATTCACACAAGAATCGAAGATGCGAAGTAACGGAGTGCGTTACTTCGCACGGAGTTTTTTTTCTTAGCATCCAAAGGGGAATGATCACAATTTCCGTGTGCGCAATTGCTGGTCTGTGACGTAAGTAAAACACATCGACGAACGCGCCGTGACCGTTGGATCGGACAGTCGTAAATCAATCAATTTAGCGCGCATTAGAAAAAAAGTGACTTTCAATTGGGGATCATCAAACAAAAAAATTGAACGTCATTGCGACGTATTTGCGCCATTGATATGAAATTAAGAAACTCGCGCGCGAACAAACAAGGTTAAAGGGTCAAATCCAACCGATCCGGCCGTTCGTTTTGTAGAAACAAATCGTTCGGACGTACGTCTCGAATTTGCGCGTGCACGCGTCGCGTCTTCTCGACGAAGAGAAGAGCACGAACACGATCAAAAAACAAAAACAAAAAAAATATAATTCGCCGGGTGAGATCGAGATGAATGGATGGACGCATGGATGAGTGCGCTGTTGTTGAATGAACGAAGTGAGCGTGAGAGAAGAATCCGCGTGCGGTAACCGAAAAAATACCGCGAGCCACGCGCGTAGTTGCATTCAGTCGCCGATTTGAGCGGCATTTTCGCGATTTCGTTCTATTCTTCAACAACCGATTGTTCCGTGAAATTTTTTCCAAGTGATAACCGTCTTTGTTTTTTTTTTTTTTTTTTTTTTATTTTGCGAAGCGCCAAACGTAATCGCATGCGCACGCGCGCAAATTATCCCACCGCTCCAGTTTGTGACTGAAATTTCTTCCAAAATTCCACTCGTCTTCCGATCGGGCGGTTTCGGTCGATTCGGCCGCGAAAGACCAAAAAAAAAAAAAACCCCCCGCGAACTACACGAGAGAGATTCATTTGTTCGCGACGAGTCTCCCTGGCTCGTCGCTCCGAGCCACGACGATATTATTGTAGGGCTTTAGTGAAAAAGTTTGATAAGAGATAGATATATATATAAAAGTGCATGCAACTCTGTGTTTGTGCCGTAAAAATGTGTCGGTATATACGAGAGCCCTACGGGCGTGTCGGGCGCCTCGACACGGATCGATCTCACTCATTGATCTGTTGACGATTCCAGCGCGCCGACAGGAAATCATCAAGATGACCGAGCAGTTGATCGAGAGCATCAATACCGGAGATTTCGAGGCGTACACGTAAGTTCAGACACGTCCCACGTTAACTATTCAAGACTAGAGAAAACGCGAATCGTCGTGAGTTTTTCGCGAATAATTCATTTCAACGTCAAACAAAACTTTAACGAAATGTTATTTATCTGTGCGGATAATAATTGAAAAAAAAAAACAAAATTCGCGTACGAAATGTTGATGGGAAAACAATCGTATGCATTTTTAGATTTGTAAATTTACATTTTTTTTGCGCAACTTGTTTTTTTTTCGAGCGTACTTATTTTGTGAAACTTTTATTCCGATACATTTCGCGCTCGTTTCGAAGTCGTTATCGCATTCGCGTACGACAATTCACGTTAATGTCGTTTATATTCGGATTAGCGCGATCAGCGATTAAATTCGTGTGTCAGAAATATCTGATTTTCGATAATTCGACTGTTAATTAAACATTACATCGAGCGAACACACACGCGCAAATGTGCAAAAATGCGCTGTGAAACGCGCGTTAAATGCGCTTACAGTGTTTTTTTTGTTTTGCGTAAAAAAACTTTTTCTCTGTATTTCGAGTGCAAGACAAGGCGTGTTAAAAAAAAAAAATAATAAAAACGAACCTGTGCGATTCGATCGATTTTCAGTGACAGGCAGCACTCGATTGCGATCTCGCTCGATCGCAACTCGTGCGAATGTCATTATCGCGCATTTTTTTCTTTTTACGGGAAATACAATATTCTTTGTGAATGAATATGTGAAATATTCACGTGTGAGCTTTCACTCGGCACAAATTTGCGTCGGTTCGCGCGCGCGCGAGCACATATCTCCGCTCAATAATTTGTCGTGTGTGTATAAATAAATACGGCGCGATTTTCTGGATGATGTCGAATTTATTTCGCCCTTTTTTTTTTTTTTTTTTTTTTTTACTATCAATCGTTTAAAACATTTGCGATCGCTCGTTTCGTACATGCACGGTAGAATAAATTTGTTTATTATTGCAACGCGTTTCCTCGCTGTTTACGGGGGACGCGCGTCGTGTGTATTGTTCACGTTTTCTTCAAAAATAGTTTCGCGATTTGAGAGGTCGATTCTTTCACGTGAAACATTTTTTCTCAACACCGATCGCTCAAAGCGTGCAGCGACCCGGGAGTCTACGTTAAAAATCGAATCGTTTGAGAAATTGTTGGACAACAAACGGAAACGAGACGAGTGTATCGTGCGTGTAATTTGTTTTTCACGCCACACGTCGTTTATTTCTTTTTGCTTTCAGGAAAATCTGTGATCCACACCTGACCGCGTTCGAGCCGGAGGCTCTAGGTAATTTAGTCGAGGGAATGGATTTCCACAAATTTTACTTTGATAATGGTAATTATGACTCGTTTGCAGCACACACGTCGCCGCGCGCGCGCTCATCGCTCACTGTCGCGTGTTTTAAGTAGCGAATGTATTTCGATGGCGCACAATTAAAGTGTTTGTGTGACAGCTTTGTGATTTTTTTTTTTTTTTGGTTTTGTTTTTATTTGCGCGAGCTGTTTGGTCGATGACAAGTCATCGTGCATGCTGCGTGCATGGTCGGAAACGTAACTCTCGACGTTACCCCTCGTCACGTGAAAATCTGTTCGATTCTTTCCCCACCCGGTTCGACGTGTAAATTCTCGACGAATGTAATATCCAAAGCTCTCTGGTCCCCAAGAAAAGTTTACGTTCCACAACAATTAGATGATATCAAGAAAAATTTATATAACGTACGGTTTTCTATTAAATATAAACTAAATCAAAAGAAATGGGACTTTTCTCGATTTAGAAAAATTTATAATTTACCGGATAATAATTTTTTATTACACACACACACACATACATTCTTGCGCGTCTACTCTGGATTGATATGTCGCGCGTTTATATATTTCCGAGCTTCAAACTTATTTGTTTCGGGCAAAAGAATATAGCGAGCCGTTAGATATATTTGGGAGCAAAAAAATATATACAGGGTGTCTCATCTAACTTGAGCATCCTAAATATCTCGCTTATTTTTTACGATAGGAGGATGCCGAAAAGAGTCATTATTCAGTTCGAGGAGACAAATAAACTGTAATAAACAAGAAGTTTTTGGATTTGTCTTGACCTTGCCTATCATATCGCGAAGATAAAAATATGTACTTTCAGATTAAAAAAAAAAAATGACAATGACTTGAAATCCTAAAAACTATGACCTTGAGAAAAATTTCTTGTTTATTACAGTATTTGTCTCCTCGAACTGAATAATGATCCTTTTCGGCATCTTCCCGTCATAAAAAATAAGCGAGATTAGAATGCTCAAGTTAGGTCGGACACGCTATATATAAAATCGCAATGTTCTATACAAAGATCGAGAAAAAGGGGACCGAGAGTTGACGACGAAAGTTTTGCTCGCTAAATTACATAATTTCATGCGACCTGATATACACGTCGACGTGCTCATTTTCCAAATGGCGTGTAATGCAAGACCGGAATGCACACGGGAAACGCCTTGAATTAACGTTAATCCCGCGCTTCTTACTGCACTTCCCTTTAATTTACTGACTAATAGCGTACGCAGGACCAGGGCTTGAGTGGCTTCTGAAATTGCAAGTTCACCGAGAATCCTTTAGAAGCGTACGTTATCCCTGCGGTTGGTCGGGCTTTCCGCTCTCTTCTCTCTCTCTCTCTCTTTCTCTCGATATTATATGTCTAAGGAGATTTTAGTAGAAATTTAATCTGTTCTGTGCGCAAACACAGAGAGAGATACAAGGTTGAAAACGTCGCGTTGAAAATTAATAAAGAGATACACATCTTCGCGGTACGAATACGCGCGTTTTTATTAAATTTTCCTCGTTTACATCTCGGGATATCTAATTTAGACTTTATGAAAACGCGAACGAAATTAAAAGTTGCGCGATAAAATAAATCGCAGCGTATAGAAAAAAAAAAAAAAAAAAATGTCGTTTCCTCTCTTAACAGATTGCCTGGGCCTGTGTAACGCGGAATTTTCGACATGTGTGATTTTGCTCTTCTTCTTCTTCTTCTTCTTCTTTGCTTTTTGTCACAGGCTTTAGCCACATCTCTCTATTTTTTTCTCTCCTCTCCTTCTTTGTTGTTGTTGTGGAAAGCTTTTCGATTGCGCGTTGTGATGCAGATCGCGTGATAAATACTCGTGTAAAATGTATTTTAACCTTCCCTTCAACACCCCAAGCAGTCCTGGGGAAGAACTGCAAGGCCGTCAATACGACGATCTTAAATCCCCACGTTCACCTGCTCGGCGAGGACGCCGCTTGCATCGCGTACGTCAGGCTGACGCAATACATGGACAAGTGAGTAAACAATTACACAATTGCAAAAATTACATGTAGTTGTAACGAAATTTCAATTTTATAACAACATAGCGAGAGAAACACATTTTCTAAAGAAAAGAAAAAAAATTCTCAATATTTCATCTCTCCGCTATATCCTGTATAATCGCACGAGGAGTCGTCCTTGGAGCTAATTGGCGCGTTTCTTCCCCAGGCAAGGCGTAGCGCACACTCAGCAGAGCGAGGAGAGCCGCGTGTGGCACAAGAGAGACAACAAGTGGCAGAACGTGCATTTCCACAGAAGCGCGGTGACGGGCCCGTCGCCGTTCTCCTTCAAATAAATCGGGCCGAGAGGGCTGTCCTGCTTGCCACTCTCGGGGCGGAGACACACGCGCTCGTCATCCCCCTATAGGGCAAATGAATTAAACGAACGTTAGGAATATATAACGGAGCACAGAGAACGTACCCGGGAATTTTCACACACTCACACGCATACACATACACATACACATACACACACATATATATTTATATATATATGAAAACACACATACAGAGAGACAAAACATGAGGAGACGAAAGTTGCGAGGAGAACAACACACACAACGACGCGCTAGCGCGGCGATTCGAGAGAGAGAAAACGCCGCGACACCAGAACGAAACCAGAAGACATCACACGCATCATGTACACACGCATGTCCCACCTTGAACAAAAAAAATAAAAGTCTAGTGCTAAGCGCGACAAAAACCGAAACCCGCAAAGATATATATGCCGTGGTGAGAGACCACCACCACCGACATGTATGTATTACTCGCTCCAGTACCTGCTCAGCGTACTTACTACTATCTTCTTAACATACACTTTAACAAAAAAAAAAAAAAAAACAAACAACGCGTGCACCACGCCACGTGTGCCTCAGAGAGAAACCTCGACGTGGGAAATGACGCGCGCGCGACGAAAGAAAAAAGAAAAGAAATAAATTAGCGGGAGATCATCGGAAGCGCGTGAGAAAGAGGCGCGTAAAATCGATCGGCCGACTTTCTCGTTGGGGATCGATCGTTTCTCGACGAGCACCGAGGGAATGACGCGCGAGAGGCGGAACGGAACGCCCGGCTAGCGAGATGGATCGCGCGACGGAGAGAGAGAGAGAGAGAGAGAGAGAAAGAGAAAGAGAAAGAGAAACATAAAGAGAGAGAGAGAGAGGAAGGAAAGGAAAAGAGAAAGATGTCTCGCTGCATCCGAGCATCGACGTCAGGTTTACACACACCGTCCTCGCAAAACTAATTTCGCGAAATTGGAAGCGAATTCGAACGTCGTTGAATACATATGTATATATGTATATATGTGTGTATGTGCACGCGCGCGCGCGCGCGTGTGTGTGTGTATATATACATATATATCGAGAAGAGACCGGAAGCGAGCAGAAGCTAGATAACGAAGCATCATTCTACAAAGTCGACAGAGCGAAAACTGCAATGCGCGACCGAAGTTAGTTTAATCAACGGAGTCGTGTAAGATAAATCGTCGCGGCCATTTGGCAGAGCAGATGCTGGGAGAAGAGAGCATCCAATGGACGGGGAGGAGACACCGATCGCAGTATCTCTCGTTCAGACACGGCAAGTCGAAAGCTGTGACCGGTTCCATGCGGGAGATATCGGGACGAAGAAGAGGAGAAGATGTCTAAGCAGAGGAAGGGCGCAGAGGAAGTCGAGCGATGACGGGGTCGACTCGGATCGATGCTGGGCATCGACGGGGTCAGCAGCGGTCGAGAGACAGAACGAGAGGAGGAGGAGGAGAAGAAGAAGGAAGAGGGTATTGAGGTTCCGACACGGAAGAGAAAACGGGGGGATGAGAGGTGGAAACAGAGGCGACGTGGTGTATAACGGACAGGCAGGGTGGAATCGCGGTCGAAAGCTCGTGGCGAGCGGAAACAGCGGCGCCGTCACGGCGCCTCGTCGTGTTTACGTTAGACGCAACGCGTTCACCAGGACATTCCTCCGCGCGCGTTCCTCTTTCGCTCTCTCTCTCTCTCTCATTCTCTCTGACGTTTGCAAAGGGAAAAAAACCATATTCGACGCGTATCCGAGGTGCAGTATCTTAGACTCTGTTCCTGCCTGACGGGGACGGGGTTCACAGGTAATCTCGGAAACAATCTGATAACGCGCGACGATAGAAAGTCACGCGGAGTCTTCTCTTGACGATGGAACGAGAAATGAAAGAAAGAAGCGGGGGGACAGGAACAGAGTGTTGCCGAGACACGCGCGTCTCAGGTTTACTTCACTAACGATAAGACTTTACGAAGTTTAGGGCTCTCGATAGTTCAGGCGGCGTGGCGCTCTTGATCTCACGAATTGTCGAATCGAATCGCGATGAATCATCGTCTCGCGAACTTGCTCGAGAAGAGAAAAATTGGAAAGGAAGTAGCGTGTAAGATAAACAAACAAAAAAAAAACACACACTAGCAGTCACGCCGATAAACTTAATGTATACTCTTCTCTCCGGGAGGAATTGCATTTCTACTTAGCGGTGTGCTACAAGAAAGTACTTCGAGCTTCGTATTTAACGTAGCGTAAGTTTATAAGCTTCGATTGATTCTACTACACTACGAGAGATTGCTGTCGCGTTTGATGCAGCAGCAGCAGCAGCGTTCGAGCGCAGTATAGCACACACACACACACACATACACACACGATCGCCACTTGCAAAGTAATAATTAACAACGCGAGATACTAAACAAGAAAAAATAAATACTAAATAAAAATCCCTCACGATCGTTCCTTCCGAGTAGCAAAAACGCAACCCAACTCTGCGACCACAAGTAATAAATTTTAAGAGACTCGCTGAGACACGCGGTGGTTTGATTGATTGCATCTCGCTGCGGAAAGTATTCTTCTTTCTCGCGCGCGCACACTCACACACACACACACAAACATGTGGAAGTTCGAGCCGCAAAACACAACGCGATTCCTCTCGAAGGAGAGAAAACGAGCGATACGTCGGTCAGCGCCGCCGCCGCCGCTTATCCTTGTGAGACAATCTGACGAATGTAGCTGTCGCGTACACACGCAAAACAAAAAAGAAAAAACATGCATATATTGCGAATTCAATCCGCCACCTTCTCCGCCTTGCCGTGCCTCGTAATTTCATTTTCTCGTCAGTCGCATCCCCGAGTGCACGTAGGTGTGAGCGCGCACGTTTAAAACGAGAAGAAACACCGTAGACAGTCTTAAGAAGGATTTTGCATAAGAGAAGAAAGTCCTGAAAAGACGAAGCAAACAATCGAAAAGCAATAAAAAAGAAAAACAAAAGGAAGAAGATTAATGATCCTGATGAAAAAAAAACCGACAGAAGACATTGATAATTCACGCTCTCCTCTCTCTCTCTCTCTCTCTCTCTCTTTCACGTCTCTATCTCTATCTGTCTCTTTCTCTCTTTCTCTCTCTCTCTCTCTCTCTCTCTCTCTCTCTTTGCATTATTAATGTTAAATATACATATATATATATATGGGCATACATATTTATTGAATTATACTTGGAGAACCTGTATAAGAGAAATGACGTGAAAATCCACGGAGACACACGCAGACGTCGATCGTGGCGCGCTACGACGCGAGGTGGGTGTTTGACTCACCGCGCGAAAAAGAAAAAAAGAGAGAATCAGAGAACGAAAGATCTCTCTCTTTCTGGTGTTAAAAAAAAAAAAAATCGCGATAATTCAAACACACGTGTTTTGTGTCGAATTTACTTCATTAAAACTAATAATACGACGAATCTTTCTACACGTTCGTACATATATTCTCTATTTACTACTATTATTATTATTATTATTATTATTATTATTATTATTATTATTGTAACGCGTGATTTTTGATGCGAACGCGCGCTAGAGGGGAAACAAAATGATATATAGAAAAGGAGGAAGCGAAGTCTCTCCCCCATCAGCGAGAAAATCAGGAGGAACATTTTTTGCCACATCTTGTTATATATATAAATAAATAAATATATATATATATATAAAGAAACTATACATATATATATGTTACGATTATGTACATGACTGCGAGCGCGTGCGCGTGCAGGAACACGTCGAGAAGAGGTCCGTTTTATGTGGTTATTTTGAAACAAATTGTTCATTAGATGCGCTTATTGTTAGATGTGTGCCAGATTGTTCTCGCGTCACGTTTAAGTTTTTTATTGAATTTTTTTTTTATTCGAAGCCCTTTCGCGTGTCGCGTGAATTCCCCCATATATATATATCTCTCTCTCTCCACAGAGTGCGTATGTATGATTTTTTTTCCTTCCGTATTCCGTGCGTTGTTCTTCCTCAGGAAAGAAAAACCGAATTATCTCACTCAACTCGGATGCATCGCGCGCCGTCGTCGTTATCCCGTCGGAGAAGATAAGAAGCGGGAGAGAGAGAGAAAGAGAGTTCGTGCGCGAGATCGCACGCGCGCGCACGTCACCTACGGCGTATGTATATTGATACGAGAATACGATTTAATATATTGCAGATATACTATATATATATATAAATAAATAAATAAATAAATATAAATATATAAATAAATATATATTATAAATATAAACATAAAAGAAACCTACAAGAGATCAAGGGGATAGTTATTTCTACTACTCTATAATTTGTCGCTTCTACGTGTGATTGTTGTATAAAAAAAAATCAGAAAAAAAAGAAACCAAGAGATTCATTAATTTATTATTGTTATTACACGATTATATCATTAACGTTAACGACTACTTATTACCCTATACGATAAACTAGTTACTACTACTGTATTATTATTATTACTATTATTATTATCGTCGTTACGTCGCTCGTTGTCGCGAGGGAGACAGAAAAATGAAACGGGATAGGGGGAGGGGGGACAGGAAAGAAAGAGGAGAACGGAACGGATTTCGTGTTCTCTGTTCGCGTTCGCCGTCTGTTCGAGAGATCGATCGAACGTGCGACAACAGTCCGGATTATTTAACCGGACACACAATCGACGCGATCTCTCGTTTTTTTCTCTTGGTCGCGCGGGGACGAGCGCCGATCGCGACACACACGCGTTCGAGTGGATTAAAAAAAATTGGATTTAAAAAAAAGTATAACATATATATATATATATGACGTGTAACGATCTTTATTATAAAGGTTTATAAATACGAGTTTACGGACGTTATAAAACAAAAAAATCGATGGATCGAGTGGCTAAAAGTTGATATATTATATATATATATATACACACACAAAAAACCTCTCAATTTTGGATATCTCTTCACACCGATGCCGAATGAGAACAAATAAATAAATAAATAAATAAATAAAAAATAAGCGCATGCCCGCGCACGCGGAGCGTCATTATTATCATTGTTACATTCTCATTATTATTATTCGTGTATTTAATATAGCTAATATTAGCTAATTCGTAATCCGAGGAGATTCTTCTCTAAAACGCGCGCGGAGAGAGACGCGTCTCTCTCTCTCTCGTTGAAAGTCGTCGACTCTAAGACACTCGAACGAATTATATGATTATCGCGTGACCGACCGATAAAATCTCTTACATTGTATTGAAGAGGATTTGTATGCGTGTCAGAAAAATGAAAAAAAAAAACCGAATTTCTTTCGTTTCATCCGAGAGAATTTCTTCTCTTCCTGGTCGAGTCACTCGCTTCGTTTTTTTTTGCTCGACGAGTTCGGAATTTATTTTTTCCGACACGGATACAACGAAGAGCGAATATATAATTGACACATCTATTTGAAGAAGACTCTCTATTTGTTCTCATCTTATATTTTTTTTTTTTTTTTTTACTTGCCAATCTTCCCTCTTTTGTTTTAAAATTACACGCGCGCAAGGTAACGTGTCATCTGGCGGGGTCTGCAAAATCGTTGATTAACACACACGTACACAAACACACACATACATCGCCACTCACTCGCTGATTACGTAGGGGTACATGGTGTAACAATATTGTATTTTATATAGTCTCCGAATTTCTCACATTCCGTACATATTTACGGCGGTTTTTCCACTCGTTTTCCATGTGTTGGCTCTCTCCCGCGGCACACACACACTGTAATAAATAAAAACAAAAAAAAATACATCTCTCTTTCTCCGCGTTTCCCGAGTGTGTTTGACGATTCTTCGCTGCCGAATATAATAATAATAATAAAAAACAAAAAACAAAAAAAAACAAAAAAAACAGAGATGTGTGCGGCAATCTCTAGAAAGCTTGTTTAATGTGTTCGACAAAAAAAACCAACAATGTATCTCTCGTCGTTGTGACTTTTTTGTCATGGTTTGTATACTCGTCGTCTGGCGTGATGATGTGATTTGTGTAAACTCTTGTCATTGTAACACAACTTTTTTGTGCGTGTGCGGCAGGTATCGAGGAGAGAACTCTACTCTCGACGATAAAAAAAAAAAAAGAAAAAAACGATATTACACGGACTCTCTCTCGCGATTATGTCGTCATTACAAAATCCAAAAAAAAATAAAAATAAAAAAGTACCGTAGATTTAGTTTGTCACGCGTTCTCTACAAGGAAAAAAAACAAAAGGGAAAAAAACAAAAAGCGATACACACTACAAAAAAAATTTTAAAACGTAAGAATATATATATACATATATATTGCTAACTCACGTTTGTAAGTAAGCGTAAACTACGAGCATTAAAAAGAAGGAGATAAAGAAAAAGAAGAAGAAGAAAAAGATCGGTTAGTTAAGGTGCCCGATGTGGAGCTGCGTATTACTATTTTCGTTAGAGATTTTTCCCGGTTAAAAAAAAACTGTTTCCGCTAACTTTTGTACTATAGACGAACATATCTTTATACAAGAGACGTAATCGAGGTCCGTAGTAAAAGAAGAAAAAAAATCATTTAGCGCGATATTGCGAAAAGTTAAAAGAAAACGGAATCGCAGATTAAAGAAAATAAATAAATAGAAAAAAAAAAATTTCGCCGTGTCGCCCCTCGTCGTTATATTACAATATATCGTGTAAATCTCGGTTTCGCATGTTATTCAAATATATTTAACTTCCGATTCTCTGGCTTTGTTAAGATGTAATTTAAAAAACGACAAAAAAACCAAAAAAAAAAAAAAAAAAAAAAAAAAAAAAAAAAAAAAACGAGAGGAGAAAAATATATAAAGCTCGATTATTATTCCAAACAGACTAAATTCGCGTTTTCTTCGTAATAATGTAAATTTTAGGAAAAACCACGTTCTCTTCGTAAGAATTAGCGATTACGCGTAAAGAAAAAAAAATAATTGAGAGAGGTACATCACACGTAAGAAAAAAACGAGATTACTCGCAGAGTTTTAGGCGTTTCGAAGATTGTACACCTGATGTGTATATTTGAACAAAAGTCGTTTTTGCTCCGCTTCAGACTCTGATTTCTCATCGTTGCACGTTGCAAAAAAGACAGCAAGAAAGAAAGAAACAAAAAGTAAGAGAAGCGGTATGCGTGTTTGCGCCCTACGATTCAAACAAAACACACGCGTGCGTCAGTGCGTGATACAGTCAGTGCTTTGAGGTATAGATCGGTTTATTTCTCGAGAAGTGTAACGACGAGACAAAAAAAAAAGTAACAAAAATCAAGAAAGAAGAACGAAGATTGTCAATCAACTTGGACATCTTCCGACGCGCAAAGTACTTGGTACCGCTCCTTCGTTTTGATAAGAATTTTTTTTTTTTTTTTTTTTCTCCGTCCGGATGCTGTTCTGTCTTTGCTTACCCTCGCGTTTAGAAAAAGACTGTTGTTGCAATCGATGTGTTTTTTTTGTTTTTGTTTTTACTCGTTTTGTCTTTCAATTCGCGCGAGACAGATGAGACGCGTGTTTTTCACACACATACACACGCGCGCGCAGTTTCTCTCTCGAAATACAACGACTATACCTCGAAGAGTCTGAAAGTGACGTTCCTTCCGAACAATATGAACAATTGTAACGATAATTAATTCTTGATTATATAATATTAGTACATTTATTGTAATTATTATATATATTATCGCCATGGATTATATATTATTGTTACCAGAGTAGTATATGGGCCCCGTGGCCTCCACGCGCGGGAGTCAAGAGGCTCATACACCACCGTCCTCTTTAGCCACATTGCTGTAACAACTCCAAACATAAAAATGTCATACATTAAAAATTTTCTCGCTGCTGTGTCTGTAATCCCAAGTCCAAGTGCGGAAAAAGATTTCGAAAAGAGTTTGTAATTGAACCAAAAAAAAAAAAATAATAATAACACGCTGTATTCTCCGTTGCCTTTCTTACGAACTCTCGACGAAGAATCGCGTAAAAATCTCCGTGCGCGAGATCATTTGTAATCTCCACGCACTGGTTAGGGGAATAAGAGAGAAGAAGAAAAAAATCGGTGTAGGATACGAAAATAGCGAGTTTTTATAATAGAGAGCACACGCGCGAAAAGAAAGAAGGATATATTACAGTTTGAAATAGTATTTTATCCACACACTTTCTCTCTCTCTCTTTGGAAGCTTCACACGTCCGGCTGAGATGATTTGCCTCTCGGGAACGTTTGTCGTCGCGCACGTAAGAATTTACATCCCTACTATGTAATCGATCCGAATGTCGATTCTGTGTGATATTCGTACTCTTAGCTGCGTGTTGTCAGTTTTAAAGGTCGTACGCACAAAAAATCGCGCGGTACTCGGTCAACTATTTATTTTACAATTTCTTTTGTTCTCATTTTTCGCCACGTTCGTGTGTTTACAATTGAAGAGATAAGAATCTTGGCAAAGTGTAATTTCAGACAAATATTTGATATCGAAATATAAATTTTGTTTGTTAGATTTAATAAACGTCTCTACACTTTTATGTACGTTTATATTAGAATTGTAAGTTTTTTGATTGTGGGAAAAAATTGCTGACTGGCCCGAAGCGACTTTATTCGGGAATTCAATTTGGACGGACGCGTGAGGCTTAGAAGCGAACAATTTGCACTCGGATTCTCGGCGTTGCCTTTTCCCGGCCGTTTTTCCTGTCGTCACACACACGTACGCGCTGCGTTATACGCGCGAGAGAATTCGCGGCGATCGAATAAAAATAAAAAAAAACGCGACCCTGCAACAAATGATGGCCGAATGTGAAAGATGGAAATTCATTCAACGAACCGCGTCGTTTTTTCAATATTCCTCGACCGATCTCTGATCGGAAAAATCGACGACGACACGAAGGGAGAGAAAAATCATCTCCCCCCGTTTCTCGGCGCGAGGGGAGAATGCGAAAGTTTTTCGAGATCAATATTTGCTCACGAAAATGAGATTTCGCACAGGAATTAAATTCCTTTTCCTCGACCCTCTTTCGATCCGTCTGTTTTTTGCGGGAAAAAAACAATTCAGCTCGGAAAGCGAACGAGCGATAATGTGCGTCGCGTTTTCTCGCCAACCGGGAGAGGAAAGAAATTGAACGAAGGAATTATCATCGATTCTCTCTCTTTCTCTCTCCCTCTCTCACCGGTACGTCTAGTGTAATGCTAAACTTGATTATTACAGACACTACTTGGATATAAGCGATTGATTACAATTTTTGTCCTATAATGTTCAGAGAAATAAAAGTGAAGGAGAAATATATATATATATACATATATCAATTACACACTCACACACACACACAACTTTCCATAAATCAAACCACGTTCCGCGCGCAACGTAGATCCTCGATTATCTTTTCTTTTTTCAATCGCCTCTCTCTCGGAATTTGAAATTTATTCTCTAAAGGATTTTTCCATTTTAGTTTTCGCGAGATTTGAATCTTATTTTCACAGAAACGATTCGTACATAAAATCGCACGAATATACGCGCGCGATTTGGATTTGCCGAGATTTCATCTTTTATTTTTTTTTTTTTTTTTAATTTCTAGCAGAAGATACAAAATACGCACTGTAAGACCAATAGATTTTCATATGTCGATTTTCCTCGAGCTTTGTTTATCGGTATCTTTAGATCTCCATAGCGAAACCAGAGAAGCGGCTTCGGGATTGGACGCGCATCCTTTTGATCTTTTCTTTAACTGCGTCCTTGGTACGATATTTTACCAAATCTGCTGATTGTCAGCTTCCTCCATGATTGTTTCTTCCTCCGCTCGTTAGTGACAACCATCGGTAATAGCGACACGAAAAACAATTTAAAGAAGAATTGTGTACAAACAGAAATTTAAATTCTGCAAATGTTTTTTGTCATGAAATAAAATTTGTGAGTTGAAACCAACGTTCGCCGGTCGAACGGTTTGTTAGACAGAGAAGAATCGAAGATGGTCGATGCTCGAGTTTTTGAAAGACGAATTGTCCGAAGTCGCCATTGTCCTAACTCGGACAATGCGTTTGTGTAAACAATGCGCGCGACTCCCTTTTGTACGCTTCCATTGCAATCGTTGTGTTAGTTACAATTGTGGATATAATTAATACAAATTCTTTTACAGTGTCCGTTATTTGTAATATATATAACATACGAATACTTAATATTATTTTTTATTTTTACCGTTTACAATTGATTTTATTACAAACGCAGCGTTCGCGTTTTGTTATTAAACTTAGGTTCTGTTGTTAAACGTGTGGTTTTTTTTCTCTTGTTTTTCAATTAGTTTTTTTCTTTTCCCTTCTTTCCTCTCCCGGCTCACGTGTTTCTCTCGCACACATCATTGGAGATCCGAGAGATGAAGAATTACACAGTAAGTGTGTTATTATTCCATCGTTTTTCGCACAATATAACAACTGCCATAGCGTGCGACCCGATACTTTGCAAAAGATGTTTTTCAAACGCGGTAAAGAAAAAACAAACACTTGACGATCCGACTCTTCGCCATTTTTATATTTTTCTACAAAAAGAAATAAATAAATTTGTTTTTCCGCTAGCGCAAGGAGTTTTTGTGCGTCGCGGAATTCTCGGTGGCATGGACGAAAAGGATCGGCATGATGAGATGTAAAATGACGATTTTGCGCGTCTATTATATATAGTCTATATATACCTTTTTATTATAAACAAACTCTTGTTCCGATAATACAGAGATTGTATAATCGGTGTTTCGGGATTCTTACATGTGTATATTGCTCAACTAACAATTGCTCGTGTGGTTATCGCGCGTGCGATCATTTTTTGTCGTATTAAAATTGCACAAGCGACGACGCCTACGTGAGGTAATAAATCAACGTATCGCGCGTCTCGTCGCGATTTTCTAAAAACCCGATCGCGTTCACATTTCCACGTGCCCCATCAGGACACGTTACTTCCAAGCGCGAATACAAACTACACCGATATTAAATTATCTGCTCCGAACTCAAGGATCTGCACACAAGGCACGTATTACAATATTCGCCTTACGATAGAAATTTTTCCCGTCTCGACAACGGGACGTTGCACGCACACGTATATGAGATCGACTTCTTCTCTTTTTTTCTTCAAAAATTAAAACTATATCGACTGTAAGTGTTTGAGATAATTTATTTGATATTTATTTTTCACGCACACACACGCACGCACACGCTCGAATACAAAAAACAAAAAACGACTGCAGGAACGAAGCGAGACCTGAAAAACGCAGAAGAAAAAAAACACTATGTCTCGTTTGTATAAAAACACATTGTGTGTGTCCGACGAAAGAAAACAAATCTTTCTTTTTTTGCGTGTTATTAAGCCAGCGCTTGCGGTATTGTGTATATATACTTGCTCTTTCTTCTCGATAAAACAAAAAAAATAGTACTTCGCAAATCAAGAACTTTTTTATTTTACTCTTCTGATATCTATATATATATATATATATACTTACTATATATCAAGAGAACAGTCATTAAGATATTGTAATAATTAAAATAAATAATCAAATTTATATATGTGAAAGAGATTAAATCTCTGATTGCACAAATCGACAACACCTCCCTTCCTTATCGCCCTTCATCTGTCGTCAACAACATAAGTTGTTTTTTTTTCACGTGTGTGTTCAAATCTTAATAAAATTATGCGAATGAAATGCGCACGCAAGCGGGAACAGAAAGTACATCTCGTTACAATTCTAACGTTTGAGACTAGCATATTAATTTTGCACTGATTCTTATACTTGAATAGAATGCAAGCGTGTAACACACGCTTATTGCAGGTGTCGGTACAACAAGATTACATTAAAGTATGTACATAACAAAACTTATTTTTTTTTTGTTTACGCTAAAACAATACAAACGATTTTGTAGAATTGCGTGATACGACGACAGAAAAAATACAAGACTCTGCGGTTTTTTTTCTAGGAACAAATAGCTGCGCAAGGTCCATGGAGAACGTCGTTATGTAAGCATACATAAAGTATGTACAAATACGCGGTGAGACTACGTCACATCTCGGATATCTCTATGTATCTACATTTGAAATTTTTCGGCTCAAACTAAATTTTATTATATAATAACGTTAGCTCTTCGCGCGCGCGCGCGCGACGATCAATATGTTCAACGTGTGTACGTTGACGAATTCGATCGTTCAAAGAGAAATTGTCGTATTTTTATTATCATCATCATCATCATCATCACCACTTGCAGTATCGTCGCAGACGACTTAGCCACCCCGTAGTTCGCCGCTCTCGTCGCTGCTCCGTCTCCTGTTGCGACCTCGACCTACAAAACACAGAATCGACATGACGACTCGTGCGAAATCTACACCGCGCGCGGCGAAAAAACACAAAACAGAGCAGCCAGCCGTTCTCTTTTAATATATATATATTTCAGTCACATTATTTTTTGAACTGTTTTGACGTAAATGCAAGAAGAACAGAGAGACGAAATATAACACTGAATATTTTTAGTTTTCTCAAAAACAAATTAATAATTAATTTGTAAAACTAATTATTCACTTTGTCCCCAATTTTTTCTACTTAAAAAGCAATCGTAAAAAAATTTTAAATATATATATATGTATGATAAATATGTATAATTTTGTATGCTATATAAATACAAGTATAGACTAACCTAAGTGGCGTTGCTAAAATCCCATTTGTTGCATACAGTAAATACAACAAAATGTTAAAATTGAGTTTCGTATTCTTTTTGTGAAAAATTTGTAAAACTTTTATTGCACAAGTGTAATTTTGAAAAAAGTTGATTTGAAAAATACATATCTGAAAAGCCAATTGGGTTTGTATTTCATCAAAGTCTTTTATTTTTCTTATATAATAAATTACAAGTTAGATCCCTGATTTTTGATATGACACAAAACGTATATATATTATATGTATTTTATATCTTCATGTTATGGTAGTTACGCACAAATACATGTGTGAAAAATATCAAATCTGCAAATATATCGTACATTATTTACTTTAGAACGTCAATGAATCTTGACAAATTAACATTTTCGGAAATTACATTGTAGAAATAAAAACAAAAAAAATATATATAAAATAAAAAGCTCACAAATAAGTTTTTAAAATAAATAACAAAACTATCGGAACAAGTATGCGAACGTATTTTAGACACTTAATGAAGACATATGAAAAAGACACTGAATTCACCAGTCAAATGTTGGTTTGCACTGTCGAACGAAAAATGACTTTTGTCTCAATTCAACGTGTGTATAAACATATGAAATGTAAACTGCGAATTCGAAACGGTTTAAACACAATCAAACTTGCAAAAAAACTGAAACTCAGACTCAAAAAAGCTCTTACACCCAATGCAAACCGTGTTATGTAATTTAATACCTGTAACGAGACAATGGAAGACTCCGAAATCTTCGAGATCTTATTAAATCCTATATAATATTGTGTTTTCTCTCTTCTTGTTCGCGTTAATATTACAGAACTATCGTAAGGAGAGATTTCTCTCTTGTGAATAACTACAATAAATTTTCACTACCTCTGCGTATCTGATTGAGACAAGCCAGCATTCTGATCATAAAAACCGCGGGTACGGTAATCGTGTCTTTGGTCTCTTCTAACATGACCGCGTTTCTCTTTTTCAGCTGAAAATAACAAAAAAAAGGGAAAATATGAAGCATTTTCAGATCAGATCTTCTTGAGAAAAACTCCATTATATATATTGTGTAAATCCGAGAGCGATTGTCCTTACGTCTTCGGCGAACTTTTCGTCAAAGCTCGGCTCGTCGTTGATCGGCGCCCACAGTTTCACGTCGTAATCGATGCCGGACGTGGCGAGCATCGGTAGGTAGGGATGCGGCTGCAGACAATTGACCACGTGCTGATCCGCTTCCAAGAGCATGCACAGTCTGGCAGTGTCTCTCTCCCATACGAACACGTGGCCGCAATCGCTGCCCGACATGACGAAATCATCGCCCCAGAAATTCGCTTCTTTGATCATTGTCCTAAAGAAACTAGAGTCAAAAGTGCGGGGAAGAGCGAACGGTGAGAGATAATTTGGCGGCTTTACTATCGCCCAGTCCGTTCGGAGGCTTTTTCGGAGTTACTACGGGTCAGTGATTTGGCTTCCGATCTTTCATACGTTACACATCGTTACTTTTTTTATTTTCTTGATTAGACTTGGTTGAGAATTATCGTTCAAGATCGCAACAACCAAACTCGCACCAAATAGATTTGGTGTGTGTGTGTGTGTATACTACTGTTTTATAAACTATATATTTAATCCACATCACAAAGAAACTTGTCTAGTTCTCTCTCGGATTCTTGATTTTGCAACAAATGTGTGTGTTAATCTCTAAATAAATTACAGATAATGGGGTTTCTTCTTGCGCAGTTTGTGCACGTCACCCACACACGAATTTAGAACAGTCGAGAGGGTTTGAGACAGATGTTATGCAAAAAGACAGAGAGTGTGCGTTAAAATTAGATCATACCTGGCGTTTCTGTGGCCCATGTACTTCCGTTTCACACACAGTTCCGTGAGATAGGTATCGTCGAACGTCTCGTGTCCTTGCGACGACCGAGCGCTGGCGATCGCCTCCTCTATCTCGGTCACTGGGTCCGAATTTAGGAGTCTGCGAACACACGAATTGTTGTTGAAGCAAAATCGCGATACCAAATCGGTGCGCGAAACAAATTTGAAGAACAATCGAAACGACATTTCAACGAACCTTTCGCTCGGTTGAATGTCCTCGTCGTCGCTGTCGATATACGCGGCCTCCTCTTCGGTTTCTGCAAACACACATGACACATAGGATAAGAACCTACGAAGCGAAACAAAGAACAAAGTCCAACGTGACACTTACTTTCTCTGACGTCTCTGTAGCAGTGATGCTTACAATTGTTGCTCGGACCCGCGTTGAGAGTTTCGTCGCTGGTACTTCCAGATGGTCCTAAAATATAAATCGCAAAAAACACGATACGTATTTCTCGAAGAAAGAATTTCTCCAAGAATTTCTGAATTTTTTACCTGGATGGTAACTGTCGCGGGTAACCTCATCGCCGACGCCTAGCGATATCGTAGCGCTAGTTGAGCTTTTGTCAGAATACGTTAAACTCACAGCGGGCTCACTGCCGTGTCTGCGCACATAATTCGACACGTGTAAATATATCTTCATGAATCTTCTTCGTCTAAACTTATTAGTTTGAACAACAGATTTTTTCATACCTTTCGAGGAAACCATCTCGCATCGTTGTTAACCTATCCTGAAGATTCTCCATCATGTTCTCCTGTTTCTCAGCCATATTCGCGCACGAAGCTTCGACCTCGTTCGTGTTCTCACTCCACGCGTTATTTTGCTCGCAGGTTCTGTCATGGCTGCTGCTGCTGGATTCCGCGGAAGCGGCTTGAGCTTGATCGATTTGACTAGATTCGGTTTCCATAGGAACATCATCGTTCACATTCGCAGATGTGCTCGGTGATACTAATTGATTATACTGATCGCGAGATTCTTCGATCTCTCTCGTTTGAAGAAGCCTGTCGGGGCTCGTCGTTTCGTACACGTCCGCATTTTCGGATCTGTCCGGACTTGCGTCTCTATTACTGTCTAATTGTATTTGCAGTCTATTCGCGCATGACGCCTGTACTCTGTTATTTAACATTGCATTTCTCGGAGATTCGATTTGCTCTGTGCTCGGTTCGGCTGGTTCGTTGCTCCTTCCCGGGGCCGCTTCGGAATTGTTCTCGGCGGTTTGAACGCCCTCTTGCTCGATAACACCCTCCAAACTGTCTTCTCCTCCGCCGCTCAAAGCAGCACGAGTGGCCGGGTCGTTTAACATCCTGCTGAGCACCTCCGTCATTCTTTGCATCAGCGACGTGTGCAGCACCGGTCTCGCCTGAGCGATTTCTGACGAACAATATATCGCGATGTTACACTTCGTTCTGCAAAATATGATAAGACCAAAGACGTACCTGTGCCGCTGCGACGTCCGCCTTCTCTTTCCGGGCGCGCATCCGGCCCGGTGTCGGACCAATCGCCGCGGAGTCTCAGACGACGAACTGGCTGAGGCGATCTCAACGGGTGCTTCTTCCCTTTTCCTTTTCCCGTTGACATGTCTTTTCGCAGTTGCATGCTACCTTGATCCTGAGTCAATAGATTCAGAAGTTACTTCTTAGGAACATTTCACGTGGAGAATGTAAATAAATACTTTACCTTGACACTGAACAAGTAAAGGTGATCGCTGCTGTAGCTCACAAGAACGTCCTGTCCGTCCGGACTGTAACTCAACGACGTGATTCTGTAAGAATTGCCTTCGAATTCGGGAACGGTGAAGCTGCATAACGGTCTTGCTGAATTTCCTCCGTCTGTCCAACCTGAGGAACACGCACATAATTGCAATCACGTTTGCTCTACACCGTGATACGACACAGGTTTATGTATCGCAATGATTACCGGTAGCCGGCGTGCCGAGAGTTCTTCTGTCGAACGTTCGTACGGTGCTGTCGGAACAGCCAATTGCTATCTGGTGAGGCGACACGGGATTCACAGACAGTGCGGTCACAGCTCTTTGACACGGGATTAGCACGTCCTGTAAGAAGTTTACAAAAATGTTCGCGCAATGATAAAATAAAAAATAAAATTTGAATAAAATAAACACTGCGTAATTCCTCAATATGTGAAATATACGAAATGGTAGTGAACAAATGGCTCTTGCCTCTCTACATCTTGCGGCGCTACATTTGTCCTTGACTCTGAGATCAAACCATCTCACGGTCCCGTCTTCGCCACAACTAAGAAAACTATGCGGCTCGCCAGGTATTGTCGCTATTTCGTAAGTTGTGCCGGTGTGACAAGTAAATTGATTGTGAAACGTCTCCGTTCTTCTCATTAAATCTACAAAAACGCAGTTAGGACTCAATACAGAGAATATGTAACGAGGTAATCGACTTAACTTTTTTTCGATAAAATTGTCCGATCTCTTTCTTCTACGGCTATTTAACACTTACCTGTGTACAAAATAATACCATCTCCACTGCAAGAAACAATACGATGATCTCCGCTATTGGGCAAAAATTTGGCACTAAAAATATTTGCTCTATGACTCGTTTTGTAGTCTGTTAATACCTTGAATGGAAAACATTAATGTATATGAGACATATACTATATATCCGGAGAGTTTAAATACATTTATATAAACTTATTTCATGCTTATGTAGTACATACAAATTCGATGTTTAATAAACTTTCCTATTGTTAATTAAGAATATAAGTCTAAGTTGACGGTGCCGCTACACTAGATGTAATAAAATTAGTCACGTGTAGCTTGAAAGATTTACTGGTTTGGCAGTGGTATCTGAATTTCTATCTATGCCAGTGTTGGACCTTGACTACAATTACCAAAGACATTTCCTCGAAAAAGTTTAATGCCAATGTAATTTGCATTTCTTCTTTTAGACTCCATGCTTCATTTAATTCAGTTTCTATTATTTTTCATCGATTAAAGTTATATACACACATGTGACAAAAAGTATAAAATTTCTCTTTTATAGATATATTTTGTTTTCAAAATATACAAAAATATTTTGGGAACATTGCTAGGCATAATTAAACTCCTGGATATACAATTTTCAAGGGTAAAATCAAAAATAGTCTTGGCACATGCCACTTTGACAGTGGCTATAAATAAATCTGAAGTTAAAGGAAGTCACTTCATCGACAAGTATGCCTCAATTACTGGCTATATAGCGTGAAGCTAAGTTAAACTACCACACACATGTGCTACTTGGACTTTTACCAATAACTGCTTTGTGTATATGTTAATTATATTGGCAATTATATCCTAAGTTATAGTTGTATAAAGACACAAAGACTCTTTGTCTCTTTTGTGTCTTGATATCTATATGTATATAAAATACATGTACCTCGTAATTATGTGCATTAGTCAGAACAAGATGTTGATCATCACTCCCGGATAATATTAGTTCTCCACTGCTGTTCCAACAAATGGAATTTACACAGCCATTGTGTACTTTCAATCTTTTCAGCAACGACATACGCTGTATCAGCTGTAAGCTGGCTGCAAAGTAAATTTAATATTTCTTTAAACAGAATAAAAATTGCAATCTAACAACTACAAATAAAATATCAATTTCTGGCTTAACAACTGATTAAAACATTGTTTTCTATTAGACTTTGTTCTCATACAGATTGAAGAAAGACGAACATAAATTATATATCACATTGTTCCACATAACAAAGACAATTCAAGAAACTATATCTCTAAACAGAAGTCTACATATTGAAGCAAGAAGAAATCACCTTTGCTGCTAGAGTACAATTTCAGCCTCGTGCAGTCCTCATATGGTTGATAGTAAATGTCACGGAAGATGTTGGCGCGTGTCTTCCTCATTATTGCAAAACTTACAGCTGACAAATCTCAACGGCACATAGATCTTTCTCGTTCCGCGATCTTCGCTCGTCGATCCTAGCGTGCGAAACCGTCGTCGTAGCTAATTGTGACAGATTTTCCGTGTGCGCGTTCTTCTTGACGTTGAGCTCTTCAGGAACTCTGCGGTGTGTAGTTACGCAGCAAAAATGCTGTCGACGATGCGTCGCGACGACGTGACATGGCACACTCAGTTACTAAAAATAAATACGGCGAGAGATGTGCGGAGCGCTGAATATTCGCAAGATGCGAGTCCCACGATCCGTCAAGATGATCGCCAACTACCACAGTTTTGTCAGATAGAAACAGCTGAGCGATCACACTTCACGCGCAGTGTCCAGCAACCTCGCGACGCTGCTGCCAAAGTATTGTTTACATGCGACAACTGGGCGGACATTGCATTGCTCCGTGTTTTTTTTTTTTTGCCGACAGAAATTCAATTGGTCGTCGGATAGAGAACTCCCTGGGGAACTCCGTCTACCATCCTGTCAACATATATACATCCCAGGTTCTGTTCGGTTATTACTGGCACTACTGAAAAATCTACAGTATACGTGACATGAATCCATAGACGTATAATATATATAGACTGCGCGTTCCCTACCTTTGCCATGTTAAGAAAATGTCTTCAACGTGGAGAGAGAGACAGCTGGTGTTGAATAGTAGCCTCATCTTTGTCTAGCAAAGTAGTGGGGTAAATGATAGACAGAGAAGGAGTTACTATTCAAAGTATGTTGTCTCTCTCAACGTTGAAGACATCTTTTCAGCCAAACGCGCAGTCTATATATTATACGTCTATGCATGAATCTATAGATTTTCAGTACTGCCAGTAAAAAACGAACGCAATTCCATTGTTAAAGCCATCGCACATGAATCTCCGTAAAGAGCCGTCTACAATGGAGAGTTGTAGGCCGTAATAGTAAGAAATTGACCAATCACAGACAAAGTACAGAAGAATAATCGATTGTGATTTGTCAATTTCTTACTGTTACGGCCTACAACTCTCCATTGTAGACGGCTCTTAACAGTAAGCATACGACGTAACGTAAGAATTAGCCAATGAATGAGCGTATAGAATAATTCAACCAATCATTGAATAGCCTCTGTATTTAACAATAAACATAAGATATAATTTGACCAATCAAAAATAATTTTTAGAAGAAAATAGAAAGAGAAATTTCAGGTTGGCCAAGATAATTTTACTTCATTTTTAGTTTACTTTAAATATAAGAAATTACTATAAAAACATTTTATAATATATAAAACTTATGTAAGGAAAGTTAAATAGAAATAATAATATAATAATATAAACAATGATGAAAAAACCAACTAACCTATACTTAGAATAAAATCATTAAACAAATAAATATTATTTATAAAAATGAGCAATATTTGGAAAAATAATACTTTTCTATGTTCAATCGTGCAATGGTGTGGACTAGTTATTGTATGGAGATTGTAATGAGATATGCAAATATATATTAATTTTTCACTGACCATAGATCAAGTAGAATTGAGATGACACAACTTTTCGTAGCAACTACTCGTATATACACAGATTTTTCCGTACGACAAAATTTCAACCGGCTGAAATTTATCTTATGTTTAAAGGCCCTTCTACAATAAGATATTAGTAATAAATTAGAAGTCAGAAGCAAGAAATTGATTGAATCACAATCGATTATTCTTCTGTGATTTGACTGTGATCGGTCAATTTCTTGCTTCTGATTTATTACTAATATCTCATTGTAGAAGGCCTATAGAGCTTAAAATGGAGAGGCCATGCCTACAGGGTCCGCCACTTAAATCCGGACAAATTTGAATTTGACATTCCCATCATATTAGAATGCAGCAGTAGGTGCCATATGACCTAAAGATAGGTTAGAGACGTCGATAAGACATTAATAACCTTAAAATGGCCGAGTCGTTCAGGAAGACGCCGGAATATAATCGAAGAGCGACGGTTATTGAAGGTGTCCGCGCCGGAAGAACGCCAAA